CTGCGGAACACAAGAGTGGTTCATCTCCACTCGTGACATCTGCGGGTGTTACTTTTGCACTAAGGCTAATAATAATATTGTGCAGAACAATTTTAACAACTTAGGATTAGAAGAGGGGAACGGGGTGGATTGTAGTTTGTGTGTTGTGCGAGTAACTTTAAATGCTTGTGAATGAAGCTGCATTGCGAAACGTGGCATCATTCCCAACTCATCCATGTGATGGTAGTGCAGGAAGTGGGTGTTTGTCATCAGCGGCTATACTGTAGTAACGTTACTGTATTGCTTCTGTTTGTCTCAAAGAACCCTAGATAAAATTACCGTTGTCTCGTACAGTACTTTCATTTTATTTTTAAGACAACCGTTTGTGATGTTAGGTTCGGTAAGATGCTTTCCTAGTCTGTCTTAGTGATTAGTAACGCTATTAGGTTTATGTCGACAGTATTTAATGCAGTTAGGTCCAGTTAACTACATAAATGGAGATGTTCGCATTTTAGATGAAAGCTGTAATTGTGACACTCCATAATTTAAAGTAAATGTACTGCGCTTCGGTGAACAAGTATAACTGGACTGGTGGTCGGGTCTGTCAGCCAAGGCGAAGATGGTAATGTTAATTTTGGATGAATCATGTGTTATAGTTCATGGCGTAACTTGTATTAAGGGGGCAAAATGAATGCGCTAGAGTGGACAAGTGTTTGTTGTATTTTATTTTATTGATATTTTGTATGTTTTACAAGTTTACACGACAAAAACTGTAAGCTGAATACAATATTACCTATAGCATTCTTTTTGTTGAGGCTGTATCTAAACTGATATTGTTCCTTATAGATACCTTTCTTTCACCTTATAGTTCGTACCGAGTTTGAAAATATTATTTTCCGAAATTATCAATAGATATTCCATCCGCGTTTAAGTCTGCCATATTTCTACATTACGCATTACTCCATAATGAAACTACTCAGTGCGTTTGTCTACATGCTAGTTGTTAATATACTATGGTACAGTCTCACCCAAAAGCTCGTTAACTCTCCCAGCCAGCTATTGCTGCACTGCCTGCTTCAGATGTATGAACTTGAGTGTTACTTCGAACCTTCAGATTCACTCGTATCGGTTTCAGGTTCTGGTTGGTACGGAGACAGTTTCAAACGTCTGTTGCAGACAGTGTAGCAATAGCTGGCTGGGAGAGTTAACGAACTTTTGGGTGAGACTGTACCTTCATAGTTAATGTAATTTCCAGAACCTTTTACATATATATTACTGTATTGGTTTAAAAATCGGCGTTATTGTGCATCTTGTATATGATGGGCTAGCATTTCGTGTATGAAGGTTTGAGCTACTCATAATAAACTGCAGACAGGGAGCTGCCCAAAATTCGACTGCAGTCTTTATTTAATAATAATTGTATGTGTACATGACTACAATTCTTAGGTTATTCCTGATTTGTCAGATAATGAGATGCCGTCAGATGAACGCTCGCCATGGGTGTTGTGAAGATGTTCTCTGATGTAGATTAAAATTTCGAGGCGAATGTGACAATGGGTGATCACTTCCAAATGCTTTGTCTATTTTTTTTATCTTTGGATTTGGATGTCTTCGTAACGAATGGGGTAACTGATTTTAAAAGTTAAAAGCTGAAGAATTGTCCCGAGTAGGTAAAGGGAGTGTGAATAATTGTTGAGATAACTGCAAATTTGTGGCCATTTAGGGGCCGCGGTTGGTTTGCAGCTTGTAAGGATAGGTTAAGGCCATGGGAGTACTGTAGTCTGGTGGAAACTGTGCGTGTGACGGTGCATGTACTGGCCTGTTCTCCATGTACTGTAATCACGAGCTTTCAGTTGCTTATCGAAAAATTTCTTTGTAGCAGGATAACCAGAAATATGTGGTGTGTGTGGTTGGTAGTGCATGGGGAAGAGGAGGGTGGTGGGGGAAGGTTGGGGTAGCGTGGTGGTGACCTCGGCAGCGTTCAGTCACCTGGGCGGCGGCTGGCGGTTGCCGCTGCTGGTGATATTGGCCACCACACCATCCTGACTTCCATCACACCTCTCGCCCTTATTTAATACATCTTCATTTTCCTCAGTCTGTTTCACTCGTAACTGAAACTTGTTGAGGAAGAATCTCATAAGAGTAGGAGGGAACCGGTGGTGGGTGGAGAGTTCCCGCGCTTAGTGACGTCACGCGGGAAGATCAACTTGCTGTGCGCGCCCACCCAACTCCTCTTGGAATGCCAATTGTGGTTTTATACTGAATGTTAATTTATGCTTTTGGGTGTAGTATTGTGGTTTGTTTGATTTTTACCTTTGGGGCAGAGAAATGTGTCACTGGTGCTGGGTGGGTAGGGTTCTGGTGCATGTTGATTCCGCCATGACTAGATCCATACTCATCTAGCAACAGGAGACTACAGCAGCAGCGGGCAGCGGTAGACAAGCAGCATAGTCACGGCTAATCGCTCGTTATGTACGTCATGTACTATTGAATTTGTAACGTGTGGAGACCAATTGTTAGCAGATTATAGGCTGTAGGTGGCGTTGACTTTTGTAAGTACTTGGCATGTGTAGCAATTTATATATGAAAGGAAATACAAAACCTCGTAAATATAGTAAATACGAATTCATCATTATTTCAGGTGTTATACTACAGTATTCCGATACAGTTGGACTTGGAAAACTAAACAAAGAAGGGAGCATTAAAGGGCGTATGTGCAAGGCCAGAAGTCGTCAGACTGGACACTACAAGGGCACACCTGGCTCTAGTGGTTGTTGGATTGTTGACAAAAAGATGAGATTGTTTGTTGGAGATACACTGCTGTACATATCACTACAAGCAATACTGTTGTTGCCAACATGTACAGTAGCTAAATCAACTATCTGTGCAGGTGGGGGGTCGATATGATCCGAAGTTTTACGTGATTAGTGACAGCCCTCATATACCAAAATTTATCGCCTATGGTCGCATTTTATTTCCCACAAAGTATGCACAGACAGTTGTTTTAGCTACTGTACATCACCTTTTATTACTACCAAGACCACTGTAATTATTACTTTTACGGGCTCTTTAATTTGCCTTTGAAGCATACAGTATACGTATTGTACTGTACAGTACATGATCCCATAGGTTGTGTGAATGTGTACATAATGTATTTAGCCCGGGTCCACAAAAATACAAAATATGAATTTTTTTTCTTAAAAAATCTGACTTGGATTTTTTATCCTTCGTGCATTGATTATTTTTTAATAACTACTGGTTCTGTAATTATCACCAACTACACTGCTCCTTGCGTTAGATAACAATGGATGCGTGCATGACAGACACGCCAACCATATTAAAGTACAGTACTGTACATCTTCCCTATGCTGTAGTTGTTTTTGTTCTAGCAGTTCAGCCTGCTACAGCTGGTATAATTCTAATACTGCTGCCAGTGCTGTAGTGTTTTCCTTGATACCATTCTTCACCATAGTACTGTACCTACTTTTGCCATTATATCTTCTAGTCCCTTGTTTAATAACCGACAATACTACGACAGTGACTATTCTTATACAGTACGGTAATCCTTTCTAACACTGTTACTGTTGCCACCACCTCCAATAACTTCTTACTTTTACAGGTACGAATGTGACTTTTTGTCCATTCTACTGTACTACTTTGCTACTTTTATCACTTTCTAATACTTTACAACAGTGACTTAGTACTACTACTGCTATGCTACTTATTTGACTTTACCATTACAAATATTGTTACTGTGTATTCATGTTCATAACTACTGCACCACCTCACACTGAATGTTCTTAAACTAACCATATGACAGGGATGGTACCGCCTGAACTAACCATATGACAGGGATGGTACCACCTGAACTATCCATATGACAAGGGTGGTACCACCTGAACTAACCATATGACAGGGATGGTACCACCTGAACTAACCATATGACGGATGGTACCACCTGAACTAACCGTATGACAGGGATGGTACCACCTGAACTATCCATATGACAGGGATGGTACCACCTGAACTGACCGTATGACAGGGATGGTACCACCTGAACTATCCATATGACAGGGATGGTACCACCTGAACTAACCATTATGACTAGGGATGGTACCACCTGAACTAACCATTATGACTAGGGATGGTACCACCTGAACTATCCATATGACAGGGATGATACCACCTGAACTAACCATATGACGGATGGTGCCACCTGAACTAACCATTACGACTAGGGATGGTACCACCTGAACTATCCATATGACAGGGATGGTACCACCTGAACTAACCATATGACAGGGATGGTACGCCTGAACTAACCATATGACGGATGGTACCACCTGAACTAACCATTATGACTTGGGATGGTACCACCTGAACTAACCATATGACAGGGATGGTACCACCTGAACTAACCATATGACAGGGATGGTACCGCCTGAACTAACCATATGACGGATGGTACCACCTGAACTAACCATTATGACTTGGGATGGTACCACCTGAACTAACCATATGACAGGGATGGTACCACCTGAACTAACCATTATGACTAGGAATAGTACCACCTGAACTAACCATTATGACTAGGGATGGTACCACCTGAACTAACCATATGACATGGATGGTACCACCTGAACTAACCATTATGACTAGGGATGGTACCACCTGAACTAACCATATGACAGGGATGGTACCACCTGAACTAACCATTATGACTAGGGATAGTACCACCTGAACTAACCATTATGACTAGGGATGGTACCACCTGAACTAACCATTATGACTAGGAATGGTACCATTTGAATTTTGCCTGATGACTCGTGTAGTTCATCATTGGATCTCTTATTGAAACACAAATTGAGAGAGAAATCTTTAGTAAGTTTGAAAGCGAGTCTGTTCCATTGTTAACATTTGAATTGAGGTACAGGTATCAGAAATTCTTTGTGATAACTTGACCGTATTACAACATATTTAGTACCAAATGTGATGCAACCGTGTGTTTTGCTCTCCCACAGACTAACAAGCGGCAGTTGACACCAGACAACCGTGGTACCAAACGTCATGTTGGTCCTATTCGCTCCATATCTGCCCAGTTCTCACCAGCTACGCTCTCCCCCAGTGTGGCAACACCATCACAGAAGTATTCCTCCAGGGCAAATGTAGGAGGCATTGTAGCTTCTTATGGGGATGCTGACAATGCATCTTGGAAGGCCAACCCTAACTTTTCACCAAAGGTAATAACAACATCAACTCTTATAATGTGTTCAGAAGATGTTTTGGGATTCAATGTGTTTGTCTAGCACATGGGGCTCTCAAGCATTTTCCAGTGCGACCCCATCCAGTACTGTCGCCTATCCAGTGCGACCCCAAGTCATTACATATGTTGTGTATATGAGGATCCTTAAGAGTAAATATGGACATATTTAACTGTAAAAACAAGTAAGGAAAACGTATTACATAATTGAGAAGTATAAAAATGAACACTGGCAGAAACAGACTACAGCTGTCATGTTTGATATGACATGTTTGTATGATCATTTAATGTTCTATTCCTGGGGATATAATTACATAGTTAAGCAGCATAACATACAATTTTCTTAGTTACAATCGTCATACTGTATGTATTTTGTATGTGGCGTGTGCATCATCCTATTAATTTTCGGTACAAGTTATATCAGTCATAATTCATATGTAACGTGTTTTTTATTATTATTTAATAAATTTTCTGTTAACTGGGGGTATAATTATGTGATTAAACAACTTAGCACACAATTTTCTAGATATAAGTTTGATAAACACCATTGCCGGGAAAGCTGCCTCACGGACATAGGAGCTTCCAAATTGTATCAAAACCTTGATAGCTTGATTTTTAACTGCTGAATGTTAATTTGATAAATAATTCAAAACATTAATACATACAGTGGTCCTTCCATTAACGAGCGGTTCAATTTACGACATTTCAGATAATGAATTAACCCCTCATAAGGATTTTCAGTTCTATTACCGAGTACAACTTCTATTAACGACAGCCTTTACATTTAGTTAACATATTGATAATATATAGTGCAGAAATTAATATAAAGAAGGCATAAGAACCAATGCACTCTGTAAAGAAAATGGCATGTCATCATCGACTGCCTTTACAATCGACTGTTTGCTATGTAAAAAAAGCCATCAGGAATATGACATACACACCTCAAAGTAAATGTTAAAATATTTTATTGTTTTTTAATTATTATTGTACAGTGTACTGTACAGGTGCTCCTCTACTTACAAACGAGTTATGTTCCTGAGACTTGTTTGTAAGTCCAACTTTACTCTTGTAGATACCAAACATATTGTAAAAAATTAAAAATTATAGATATTTAGTACAGCTATACCCTTTAATACAGCTTTAAAACCTGGCTGTCTTCTTCTCTTAGGTAATGTTTGTTCTATCTGGAATTTTCTTCAAAATAATCCAGTCCCATCCACGTTAAACACCTGTTCTGGCAGGTAACCCCCGTCAGTGATGATGTTTGTATCTCTGAAAGTTTGTAAGTTGAACATTCTTAAGTAGAGGAGCACCTGTACTGTATTTTGTTTATATTTAATGTTTTGTTAATTCTAATACGGGTATACAGTACTTTGTATGTACCTTTTCTGTGAGTTGGAACCAATTACCCAATATCCCATTGAAATAATAGTTTCAGTTAACTAAATTTTCAGTTAACGACCGACTCGTGGAACTAATTTTGCTCGTAAATCGAGGGACCACTATATCATAGATGGCAAAATTCACCCTTGCCTCATTGTCAGCCTGTAATTCTACTATTTCGAGGACAAAAGAGCCACACTTTTACATCTGTCTTGAACAGAACTGAACTAAGTCCAAATACTCAGTAAGCAACTCAGGTAATCTATCATTGAAATTTGCTCCCATTTTTTTTCTGCATCCATGGGAAGTAGAGTTCATTGAGCTGAGAACAATTCAAAGGTAGGAGTGAATTTTCTGCTGCATAATGTGTCAAGGTATGCCTTCCCTGAACTGACCTGACTTGACACAAGGAGAGTAACTGCATTATTCCCTTGACCATAATTTATAGTCCTGACTTAACGAGAGAGCACCTGTCAGCCACATCCTTCAGTCCTTGACACCTGGACTATGAGCTTTATGGGACCCCATCGGCCCCAAGACCTCTATGTGACCGCTTATGATGCATTTGCAACCCTTAGTTTGGGAACCACTGTTCTGGGATATTTGCAGAGTAGGTGTTTACCATGTAATAACTGTGCACAAAGAATTTTCCTTGTCTCCTTGGGAGTGCAAAGGCCGTGGTTATGCAATTGTTTTTCTGGTACAGTAGTTTGTGCTTGGGAGCCAGATCCTTTTGTTAGTTGTACTGTATATCACAACCTGAAATGCCCCAAGGTGTTAGTTGAAATTTATGAATGTGCTATGTGCCTAAGTAGGGTATCCTAGCTTAAGTTTACAGACTACCTGATGGTACAGTCTTGTTCAAGATTTTTCGAACATTGCTGGAGATAGCTGGCAACTCGAGGCCGTTTGTTAACTATAGTACGTAGTATAATATAATACGAAACAACAAAGCCCAACCATTAAATTAAGTAATGGGAACTAAGTAACCAATCACCGATCACATTTACATTTATTCATAATTTTTACTTCATACTACAGTAAACAAACGGCCTTGAGTTGTCAGCTGTCTCCAGCAGTGTTCGAAGAATCTTGAATGAGACTGTACAATTAGGGTGATATCTTGAGAAAATGATGGTCAATAAAGTATTAAATGTTAACTTGATTGATTTTGCCCCATTGAGCAGACCCTTGACTCATTGGTGTAATGGAATTAATATTCTCATGTTGACCAGGAAATACCTGAAATGTGCCCAAGAATGATTAGGAGTGGTTAGGTATTATGAGTCATGTCAATAATTCCCGACTTGGGTGCGTAATTTTATATGCTGGTGTATAGTACTGTACCTAATATATCCAGGGCTCTTAGGGAGAGGTGAAAGAAAAAGGAAAACGGCAGATAATTTATTAAACAATGATTTAGACCAGAAATATTAAGACGAAGATCCCAGATTAAGAGTTTTCACTAAATTTAAAATGTAAATATAGATTTTATTGTACTGCACAGGTACTACTGTGCAGACATGCCTCTTACAATGCTCTAGAGGTGTTCCAGGAAAACTGGTCACAAAGTACTGTTGGTATAACATGATCTGATTCTGTAGAAGCATTCAGAGCAGCTCTATTTCTTACTTATGAGAGAGATACAGTATGAGGGTTGCTTTGGGTATTGGTAATGCACCTTGTATACAGCGAGAATAGTGGAGTGAGAAAAAAATAACTTCTCTACTCACCAGTGCATTCAGTCAGTTTATGTAAGGATGTAGTCAAACCCAAGTTACAATAAATACTGTATCAACTTGCTCATCTGCCTCCATATGTCATATAACTTGAACTTTTACATGAATACTGATCATCCTTGATAGCCTGGCTGTATTACAAGCACTCATTTTCAGAATTTTTTCTAGATATACTAGGTCAAAGATCAGTTAAAAGAGTCAGCACAGCTGAAGTAAATACTGTACATATCAGTGGAAAGTGTTCAAAATTGAGAGGCAGGTGCTGATTGGCTGAGCAGTAATCGGCACACATCACTGTTGTCATTGGTTTAGCGCATAGCTTGGAAAAGGAGCATTGTATCTCACGGAAATTTGGCAATGTTCCATAAATTTTTTGTTTTATAGCATTATGTTGGTAAGGTATTCTAAGGTTAGTTTTATTAAGAGGTATGCCTATACTGTATTGTACACTTAATGTGGAGACAAAATGATCAAGATGTCATATTTTCCAAGATATAAGTAAGAATACCTTAACCCTCTCGGCTTCGCACGACACCATTGCGGCATCGAACATAAAAGGCGAAAAAACTTATGCTCAGCCTCGCAACGCCAACGTATGGGCTAAATTTTAAAATTACTAAAAAAAAATATTCCGTGAAACTGACTGAGCTTTGGACGCCATTTGACAGACGGCGTTTTCTTTGTGTGGGCCTAATCACCTTCCCTGAGACGGTCTTGGTCATCATGTGCATGGCAGCGCAGCCTGAAGCAGTGTTGCTCTGGCCATTAGAGTTAGGGGAGGGTGCGCTGTTCGGCCCTTTAATTATTCCATGAGTTTTTATATTATTTTTCCTTACACCACGATATTCTACATGCTTTGTTCTTTATTTTGGTATATAGTGCATGTCAATGAACACCATGCTACAAGGAAAATGTGAATGGAAATCGAGATGTTACTTAACATTTTCCTACTTTTCAACTTTTACTCGAAAATGGTGGTTTAAATTTCAAGAATTTTAAATTTTTTGTGGTTTCATACAATTTTATGCTAGAGGAGACCCCATTACAGGTAGTACTGCTATAACGCGATAATTGTGTTCTTGTAAAATATCGTGTTATAGAAAATCGCGTAATAGAAATAACAGGGCTTATGGAGAAAATAGGGTTAGGTGCAGATTACTCGAAATCGAAAAAATTTAGTAGTTAGCCTAACACAAAGGATAGCAGTCTAAATAAATGTTACATTCATATCTAATAATGAAATCATACAGTAAATGTAACACTTTGCCTTGAAAAAATATGAATGTAACTTGATGGGGGAAAAGGGTGATTTTGAGGTTGATAACATCAAGCTTCTCTTCAAGGGTTATAGCCTTTCATTTACGATCATCACCGGGAATTCTATCACCAGAACGCTTCTTGGAGATATTCTTCTTTACCATATTCTCAGTTAATACCACAAAATTGGAGAAATAGTAAGCAAATATCGCGTTATAGCAAACAAGCGTTCGCGTTAAACAAATATCGTTCCTCTATTCATAAATCGCGTTAGAGCAAATTCGCGTTATCAAAACACGTGTTATAGCAGAACTCACTGTACATTTAATAAAACAATCCATGGCAATGAAATGAGCCCTGATTTTTTTTTCTCTTTCTACTCAACGATTTTTCAGCAAAAACCTCCGAGGTCGAGCGTAAGTTTTCATGCACTTGTGTGTCTCAGGCTCCGAGGCTGAGCGGGTTAAAAGAAACCTCACTCAGTCAGATATGTTGTAGACAAGTGGTAAGCCATTCAGAGGAGTCAGTTGTTTCATGTACTGCACACCATGTGGTTCTAATGAGTGATTAATGATAGTAATAAGTGGGAGAGATTTGGGATATGGTGATAGATGTTGCTTGGCTCTGGGTACATTCCCTATATGGCTGACATGGAAAGAATTTTATTACCATTTTGTTTCATTCATAAATCAGAGAGAAGTTGGGTAAGAATGATCATTTTACTTTAGAAGCTTATGATTAGGAGGGGGATGGAAATTGAGTGTACTGTACAGTTTAACATATTTGCTCTTTTTGGTGTCACTGTGTACAGGAAATTAGCTTAGTTTTATACTGAGTTTTGCTCACTATTTAATTTAAAGCCATTCATGCACTTAAATTAATACTGCAATGATTTGGTGGTGTATAGACTGAAAAATTAGAGAGTATTAATAACACCTGTAAATTTTGCCTGCTAAACCAACCAACTAAATTAAAAGAAATTTCAGGTGTACAGTGCACTTTCGTGTCAACACATAGTTTTGTGTTTGTATTAAATATTGAGGCTTTATTAATGTTCATAGTACTGTACTGTATGTTACTACAGGGTATTCATTCTGTGAATTATAGTTTCCTTTTATAGACAGTTTCTTTTATGCCTTAAATAAAAAAAATGCACAACTGGCATGTGAACATACCTCATGCTCTTGTATTGTACATCTCTCCCCAGTATAAATGAGGTTTTGTTTTTGTCAAGTTACTGTAGATTAGGGATGTTTTTAACTTTATAAGAGACTTCATCTTGAAAACACAGTTAAATTCATTTGTTCACTTGAACCATGATTCTTTGTGACTAATGTAGGAGCCCCATAGTTATACAGTACAGTACAGCAGTAGAATGTCCTGGTCTTTCATTTCTTGATATACACATTGCTTACTTTGTTCACTATACGTGTACATGTAATACATAGCATGTCTTTCCAAGCATTCAAAGTCATTAAGCATGACCTGAACATTTCCCACATTTTAGTTGATGGTCTTGTCTGAAAAAGAATAACAGCAGTATTGTACAGTACATAAAACACAGGCTTAAGGTTTGTACGTACTAGATATCTCTGAAGTGAAATTTATCCTTCGCTTGCACAATGAGTTATAAATACATGTATGCAGAAGGAATGAAGGATACATTAAAGAGTTTTCACAAGGGAAGGAAGAAAGCAAGAAGAAAAAAACAGTAGAAACTAAATAGTATATTGTAATAGCATTAACAATCTTTAAAAGTTTGGTGTGGAGGATTTAATGTCACTTACCATGAAGTAGTCTACCTTGTGGTTCCAGCCAAATATTTTTTCTTATAACTTGTCACCTTTGGCTCTCACTTAAGTGGTCTATCAATATACAGTAGTAGATTTGTTTTTATTTTGATTTCTGTATATCATGAAGTGTGCTTTATAAGGATGACTCTTAATTTGAACAATGAAAATTACAGTACAGTACTTGAAAAATATTGGGGGCAGCAAGATTAAATTTGTGACTGCCGGTACTGATTTGGTAGTTATTTTGGCTGTACGGCACACGTTGCTTAATACTGTACAATGCTTGCTAGGTAATATGTATTAAAAAGAAAGACTCAACTTTTGTCAGTATACAGTGTTATTAATATGAAAGGAATTACATCTAGGGTATTTAAAAAATTAGTTGTGTACTTAAGCTAAAACTGCAAATCTCACTGCAGATCCCCTTGTTAAATTTAAGTGATTTATTAACTTTGCAAACACTTGTCTCCTTTTTTATTCATACAAAGAGATCTGCGATTTGCTGTCAAGCAAGACTGATTGATTACAGGCTATTGGTTGTGACTTTTCCAGTGTTGAAGAATTTACTCGGTAATTCAGTTTTGTCAGATTTTACACACACTCCCTTTGCTGTAGGTTTTTTTATTCTGTGAGGTCATTTTAATTTTCAGTTCATGTCTGTGTTCTACAGGTGAAGCTGCTGGCCATGGGAGGTGAGGAGTCCTTGAATCAAACATACAAGTACATGTTTGAGAAATTAGGGGATGCAGCTGAGGCATTAGATGATGCCATAGTCGTCCTGGCAGAGCAGATGAAAGAAACTCTTGGGGTGGAAGAATACTCTGAGTTTAAAACTGTCAGCAATGTATGTACTATACTGTATAGTATTACCCTCAGTTGTACATATAGGGTTAAAGGAAGCTTAATCTGAGCCCATAATACTACAAGGGTTTGTTGAGGCAGTGGTATTACATGTGGAAACTTGAGTGAGTGAGAAAACAAATTATGTGTACTTGAGGAAACTTGTATTAATTTAACCTTAATGTAGTGTGGTATAAATTGAGAATATTAAAAACACAAGCTGGGAGTTGATACTGAAATTATTAATAAATGACTGCTGTATTGTGTACAATCAGAGGCAAAGGTCTTGTCGCGGTTTTGTCCGAAGATTAATTATAACTCTTGAAACGTTGTGAGCCCCCTACCACAAGGCAGAGCGCATCAAAAGTTTCCCCCCTTCGGCATATGTTTTTGTCAAATTTCACAACACGACTTTTGTCTTTCATTGTACATGTATAGTGAAAATGAAATTATTCCTTAGCCAGAGCATAGATTGTTTGCCTTAACCATCTGTCTCTCTGGTCTGATAATAAAATTTGGCTCTTGCCATTTTCCATGAAAGATTTTGAAAAATTCTACAGGCCCTTTGGAGAGTTAGTAGATGTGTATATTGTAAAGTGGACCATGCTGTTGTGTGTTTCTCTCCCCAACCTTGAGAACATAGAGAGGTGTCTAGTGGATGGGTGGAGCTAGGTTGTAGAAGATGGTCGGTAAACCCAAATTTTGTAAATTTGTATGGGTGGGAAGTATCCAGAGCAGAGCATATTTTGGTACAATAATGAGAATGACAGCGAAGGAAGGAAAGGAGAATACATGTTGGTATATTTAATTCTGATTTTAACCATCCTGCATTTTGGTAGGAAAGGTTTTGAAAAGTTAACAGATTTTTTAAATTGGTAGAAGCCATTAGAAAAAAATTAAAGAAGCAAGCTGGCAGGTATGAATGAGTATACTACAGAATAGGGACAAATATGGATTACTTCTGAAGTTATTTTGGAGCCATTTTTTAAGTATATTGTACCATTTTGGTGGTACATACTGTATAGTTAACTCCCTCTTTTTTATGTCATTGAAGGAGTTTAAACATTCTTGCCTTTCAATGTAGCATCTTACTGCATATTTATTCATAATTTTTTTTTAGGATCACTTATGGTCAGTCAGTAACTTGATTTTGTGCTACTTATTTTAAGTAACTTCTGTTTTCAGTGTCTCTGAATGGTCTTATAATTGCAGGAGAGCGAATGGGTCGTGGGCCGTATCTGTTGTGACAGTGTTGGTCGCCTAAACGCTGCATCTGTGTTGCTGGAGGGTTCACGAGAGGCCAGTTCTGGGGAGACTGTCCCAGTAGATTTGTCACGATTGACTGAATACTCCCTTTTCCCTGGCCAGGTTAGTCGACCTTTGTTCTTGTTTTCATGTCTTTTAATTTTAACATTTGTACAGCATTTATAGGAGTTTGGTGGCTAAGTGGATGCAGTATTTGCCTCCAGGCCTAAGGGTCATTGTTTTGATCCCAGTGTACTCCCTGTCCACCAAACTGTAAAATTAGTTTGGGAAGTAAAGGAGTCGAGTGCACACTGTCCAAATGGGTAGTCATGCCTATACAACCCATTTAATTTTCACTACATTTATAAGGTGGGTGCTGTGTTGTCATGAAGTGAGTTCCATAGGCAATCATTGGTATTTTTGCTTAAATATTGTTTGTTGGTTGAACAAGACGTCAAATTAATTTTGTCGACCATAAAAAAGTAAGTCTTCTGTAGTGTTGCTTATATCTTGTCTTCTGTAGTGTTGTTGCACAGGCCAATAAGGTATAGGCATACCCCCGAAAACCGACTCGTATAGGGACTGTGAAAAGTTGTGGGTTAGTGAATCGGCGGTTATTAAAGCAATTAATCCCAAAAGACAATAACAAATGCAGGAGGTTAAGGACTGGCCACCCCCCAAAAACTTCCATCTGCCTGTGATATATATCTGTAGTGCACACTGTCAAGTAAGAAATAAAGCTAGCATATTAAGCACTAAATAAGAAGTGTAAAGCATAAATTGAGATTGCCATTTTCCTTTGTTGAGGATGGTAGAGATGGTCTAGGGTGGGAAGTTCAGGTCTACCAGTCATTGCTGGTCCATCATCACCACTTATTACACCTTATCACGTCAAATCAAACTGCCCCATCCAAGAGGAACTATCACTGGGGTGTTTAGGCATGATTGCAGAAATAACGAATAAACACGAAGTTGGAACCACATGGTAAGTGTAAACCAGTGCAGAGAGGCAGGAATGAATCGGAGGCAGCGCTCAGTGCTTTCTCGTGGCAAAAATTTGCATCACGCCACTGCCTGCCAAATTCAAAACGGATTTGCCGCTCCTGCAATCGTCGGATCTCTGGGGTATCAATGAAACTTGCAGGGAATTTCACCAATATATAATAGGCTGTTAATGAGACATTAGTTTTCGGGGTATACCTGTAACAATTTATTTTCAGTAACTATTATTATACAGTACATATATATCTTCACATAGCTAATTTCATATGTTGTGTGTGCAAACACATACATGTACAGTAGGTGTTTACAGGGTACACTATGTGTAATGTATTAGTAAGAACATACATTTGACTTTGTTGTTCCATAATATTAACAAGGTAAATTCCAGTTTTCATACATTCATTATGGTAAAATTTTTCAGTACAATTTGGCATTTGTTTCAGCAGATGTTTATCCCTTGGCAGATTATGTGGCCACTGTTTGGCAAGTAATTGTTTCAAAATTCTTGCTGCTTGACACCGAGTAACATTGCTTGCCAACTAAGGGGTGATTGTTGGGCTGATGGAAACTTCAACTCATCTTTCTTCATAAGAAGCAAATTGTTACATTTCTATTTGTATTTCAGATAGTAAGTATCAAAGGAGTGCACACAACAAGCAACAAGCTCATTGCTCAAGAGTTAGTCCTTGGGAAAGTCCTACCACCCAGCACTTCACCAATTACTATCAACAGTACCATGGGTAATTAGTCCTTAACTATTACATTATCAATAGTGTCACAAATATCATATTTCACATTGAAAGTAAAATACTGTATACTGTATCACCCAATTTATAGTTGCTAAAGTCTGTTAGATTGTGATCACCCTTCATTTGTCGTCAATAGGTTACACATCTTGGCTCTCGGGATAATCCTCTTTGTATACGTAAATGGCTATTTTAGTTGCCTCCATTTATTATTTGAATTTGACCTAGAATTCAGTTTACTCCCATTGAAATTTCCTTTTTATTGTTCCATCAAGATCCACAATGCAGTCTGTTTGGCATGAGATTGGTTAATTAATTGGAGTTATTTTAAGAGTAATGAACTAGAACTTGTTCAGAATGTTCTGTTCTCATACTTGTACATACCACTGCTTTTAAAGTCCTCCAAAGTGTATAATGCAAAATGGGTCAAATGTAGTTTAGTGGTTTGAGAGTCAATTGTTTCTTCACTGAGAAGTAAATTTGTTTGAGATGTTAGATAAGTGTTTCATTACTTTTCACAGTGTAATGCCTTACAGATTTTGTAAACTTGATTTCTCAGAAATCATATTCTATCATAAGTGTGATATAAACCATCCTCTCCAACAGGTCCAGTACAAATTGTGGTGGCTTGTGGACCTTTCACGACAACAGAAAACCTCCTTTACGAGCCACTCACTGATCTGCTGACTGTTATGCACAAGAACCCCCCACACCTGCTGATCCTTCTTGGTCCCTTTCTCGACGCTGCTCATCCACTGGTCGCTAACAATGAGCTGGGGGAAACTCATGATGCGGTGTTTAATCGTTGTATTAGAATCATTACAACTACATTAGAAAAGTAAGACTCCCTGTGTTATGTTGATGACTGGCTTTTGCTTTTCCAGAATGTTTTGTATTGAAAGGAAGTTTATCTAACTCAATCCAAGAATCATTTATACTGCAGTGACCCATGTGGCAGTGATCTTAGTCTAACCCTATTTTGAGCTGTATATTTTCTGCCAACACCTTATATAGTCCATCTGCCTGGTCTACCCTATACTTCTGTTACATAGATTCATAAATGTAAATAAATGTCGCAAAGGCGTAAATACAAAATCAATAATAGCCATTTAGCGAGTTTTAGACAAACGAAAAAATAAAATAAAACCTGTAGTTAACTTTTATATTTTCTCTTGGCTTCTCCATATATTTACCCCTACTGTGAGCTGTGTTTTCAGTTATCACTCATATTCCTGTTCCTTATTCATTCCTAATCTAACAACTAACTAAAACAAATATTTGCTTTTCTTTGCAAGTCCACTTCTTATTTTTCTTTATCTCCTAATTCTTAAGTTCTTGCTTAAGTAGTTCAATTCCAGCACCTTTTAAAAAAAATCTGTTAATCACACATTTCTGGTACCTTCTCATAATACTTCCCCACATAGTATTAAATCTTAAGTTTGTGGGACTAACATTTACCCTACAGTGAAGCCCTGCTGTTGAGTGCTTCATGCCTTTTGTTTATTAGGTGTTAAGAGACAAGCTCAATAGAACTATAGGAATTTCTTTTCATAGGAGTTGAGCAAACATGTCTGACAAACTGATTTATGAATTTATCTGAAACATTGAGAGATTAAGGCAATTGGTATCTGAAGTATGCACATGAAAGGATTTGTGGTATTCCTGGATATTTATTAAACAAAATGTTGAACAGTCTCAAAGATCAGTATCCATTTTTTCTCTTTACTTGTTTTTGAGTTCTCTTTCAACACTAGAGTATCACAAATACTTGTTATTCCTTAACAGCCTCTTTTTAGTGTTACAGTATTATGTGGTACAGCGCAATCATGAAGCTACTGCATTTCTACTTTTCTTATTAAGCATAACAACTCATTTTGTCTCCTGCCTCAACCTTGGACAATTCATTCATTGCTTATCCCAACTTGAATATAGATTCCTGTAGGATCCATACTTGGTAACCAACCTTATTTTCCTCGCTTTTACTTCAATATCTACCTTATATCAACAATTGCATTGCCAGTTTTTAAAGATGTGCATACGAGAATTGATAGAGTAGCTACTGTAATTGATATGCTGTATTGCAGTTAGAAGGGTGCAATTATTGCAAAAGTAGTTTAAAAGCAGATAGTAATTAGTAGTGTGATGTTAGGTACAGTACTACTGTTTATGTTTATAGATAATTAGTGTGTATTAAATTAATATTGTTCACTGAATTACATTTAGCTTTTATTGAATTCAGCCATTCTATGTAATGAGAAATTCCCTCATTCAATGCAGTAGTTTAGTTTAATGCAGAAAAAGAACACATATGATAGGATTGACATTACTTACACATTTTGTCATGTCTTGGTAAATACTAGCAGGAAAGGAGTTTTTATAAGGTTGCTTATGAGGCTATGTATTAAGCTCAACCATTGTAAGTTGTACAGTACATTCCTAATCTTTGCTAATTTTTTTTTTTTCCACAGTTCGGGAACACAAGTAATTCTTGTACCATCCTGTCGAGACATATGCACTCCTATGGTGTATCCAACTCCACCATTCACAGTGGGAGGAAACATTATGTGTGTCAGTGATCCAGCATTACTTGACATTGAAGGTGTTGTTGTGGCTCTAACTGCTACAGACATCCTCCTTCACCTTGGCAAGGAAGAGGTCTCCTTGTAAGTTTCTTTAATATACAGTACATGTATATATTTACTGGACTTAAAATGTCCAGAAATTGCAGACCTTTTAAGTGTCATAAAAAGCAAGCAGTGTGGAACAGGCAAAATGTTGTTAGTCAATAGTCATGTTTATAGAACCTACTGATGCAGCTAAGAATGTTTTAATTGATTGTAGTGCGAAGAAAATTTGAAAGAGCCCCTGCTGTCTAGTGGGATAAGCAGTGTAAGGTGTGATGCAAGGTTTAATTAAGGTCAACCAAAGTAAACTGCATAATTACCTTGTGAAGGATGGAGTGCTTGAGTTAAAATTTTGAAATTTGAAAGTTATTCATATTGGTCAGAATTAATTCTATATTGAAATCTATAGGGTTAAGAATAAACCACTAGGACTAGACCAATAAACAGTTGCACAATTTTATTTTATGGTATTGATCATGTGTGTAAACTAGTGTTTCCTCGTGTATCCTACAAGAAAACCATCCTTTTACCTCCTGACGATATTCATGAATTTATTTCTTTGTTTATCTTAATAATAGAATAATACCACATTTCTTGTTGTAAAGAATTTTATTACAATGAAATAGGAAATATCAAGTTGTAATTACAGTACAGTATACTATATGAAAGGATTGTGCCTACTGTTAAGTTCTTGGTGCTTGTAATCTTTGGTAATATGAAAACAGTAGTGTCTCCAGCTATTTAATATACTGTATTTATAAAACTAAGCATTGGTGGAAGAAAAGTGGACTTGCCACCCATTTATCATTGTGTAACAGAAATGATTAGTTCTTACTTGGAACAACTTAATGTTGACAATTTTTCACGCATTATCCTACAGCCAAGGCTCAGACCGTTTGGGAAGACTAACTCGTCACCTTTTATGGCAGCAGAGTTTGTATCCTCTTTACCCAGGACCAGAGGACATTTGTGTTGACCAAGAACAAGCAGAAACTCATGGACGGCTTCCGTGTAATCCACATGTGCTTATTCTTCCTTCAGACCTTCGATACTTTATCAGGGTTAGTGAAGTATTAACACGTGGGAATAATTTTAAGCAGAAAATATTTGAAATGATATCCAACAGACTACTGGCATGCTATGTTACCACAATGTGTGTAGGAAAACAATGCAAGGAAATTAAACCAAAATCCAAGTAGACTATAAATACTAGGGAATTTACTAAGTGACCTGGCGCTGACACCTTTCAGGCTTTCAAGAACCTAAATGCTTTCCTTCACAAAAAACATCCAGTAAACCCTTGAGTGTCCGGACATATTAGCTGGTTAAGGGGGTCCAGAATTTTACCAAGTGGGAGTTCTTCTGTGCAATAATTATCATGTGTGCTTCCTTTCATATTATCTCATTTATTATTAAAATGGATACATGTACTGTGTTTTCTTTAATGGGGATACAGTACAGTGAGCTAATAGGTGCAAGATGACACTCCATGTGTAAATGTTGTGGGGGGGGAGGCTGGCTGTTGCCACATTTGCCAGTTTGTTTTAACAGTTCATTGTTATATTTTTTCATATGATCAGCCTCTTATGGTGTATGCTTCATCATAAATAATATACATTTATAAATAATAGAAACAATTTGTAATTTTGCTACAAAATAAAAGGACCACTCATCCTTTCCTGCCTATAAGGAGGAGGGGGGCTATTTGTTGCTGTATTCACGTTTTTTTATTTCGTTGTTATATTCACGTATGATCAGCCTCTTATGGTAAAGTTGAAAACATAAGGACAGCCAATGTTGTAGTTGTGTGTTTTTACTCGGATGACGAAGTTGCCAAGTCATCAGGTTCAACTCTAACAGAAGCTGTAGGACATAACTTTTTCTCTGTTGTTTTTGGTTTATATTTAACTTTATCTGTGTTATTTTTGTTGGTTTATTAGGATATTCCTTTATTACAGGTACTAATTCGTCAAAAAGGTAGGGTAAATAAGGCAAAATTTAGCCAAGCATCGAAAGTACCAGACTCATATTCATTTTCTCCATAGGAAGTTGTATTTAAATTTAGACGATTTGAATTTTGCGAGGTTTTTACAGTCTAAATAGGTTTCCAAATATGAGATCCTACTGTACAGTGTAAAGTTAATACAGTATCTGAAAATTTTCATTGTTTCTAATGTCATGCTTATCTATGTGATAGTGTATGGTGTTTATAAAGTAAAGCATGAAATGTAGTTTATTTCCTGCTTCTCTTACAGGATCTGGAGAATTGTGTGGTTGTGAATCCTGAACGTCTGGCCAAGGGTCTTGTGGGAGGTACCTATGCACAGTTAGAACTTCACCCACCCTCAAAAGATGAAAAAAGTATGATTAGTCATGTGAATGGTCAAATTGTTAAAGTTTAAGAAATATATATATATACAGTAAAACCTCGATTGACCGACCACATATGGGGAGAAGGGCCGTCGGTTAATAGCAAATAAAGTCTACGGAAATATAACATACATTTTCAAAGTACCCATCCGTAACCTACCTAATTTATGTCCCTCTATTCATTTTTGTTCATTTGCCATTCATATTTCAATAGCTTTTGCTTTAAAACATTAACCACTTTCGTAAATAAATATGAAACAGCACAGAAACCCTGAATAAAAAAAAGGAAAAGTCAAAGAACATAATACTTTAATAAAAAACTTTTATTTATGAAGTACTGTACTGCACATAAGCAGTATCCAAACACCTTAGAAAAAAATAAAATGGTGTTTACAGTACCATAATCCTTCCATGAATGTATGTACAGTAGAGCCACTGTGTTGTAGAGGATTAGTTATCTGAATCACTCCTCTATTGACATGACAAATGGATCATCGGCACGATTATCTGAAGCATTAGCTCAGGAGGAGGGGGGTTGAGGATTAGCTGAGGTAGATGGCCCAGGCTCGCTTGATGGTGTTTTAGAGGGTTTAGGTTTAAAGGAAGTATCAATCTTCACCTGATTGAATTTCTGGTATTGCCTTTTTATAATCAACTCTCTCAATGTACGTAAATGTTCGTAGTGCAGATGGAAGGCAGGATCATTGCTGTAATCAATGTGTTCAATTATACGGTCGATCCAGTCACGCATATCAGACAGCTTTTCACCTTTAAAGTTACTTGCCTCATCATCATCATTATCTTCATCATCGCCTTGATTCTGAACACTGGCAGCAATTTCTGCTTCCGACAGTATCTGGTAACCAGATACAGTGACCCCTCCGTTAACGAACTCAATCCGTTCCAGAAGGTCGTTTGTTAACCGAAACCATTGTTTCAATGGGTTTTTGGGTAATTGGTTCCAGCTCACCGAAAATTTCCTAAATTCAACAAAAATGGTAGAAAAGTTCACTTACTTTGAGGTGTGTATGTAGAAGGCTCCTGGATGATGATGATGATGGGATTTAGAATGAGGTTGGAGGAGAAGGAAGAAGAGAAGGCATTGGGGTGGAAGAGAAGTCACCCCATGGTGCCATTTCACCCATAAAATTTTAGCTCTTGGTGTAATTCAAGATTATTTTCTTTAAATCAACACTGCACTGCATTATATATTGTCAATATGTAAAATATATTTCAAAATGACCAATAATTTGCTTGGAAACACAGAAAAAAAGCATTTAGTTGAAGAGAGTCTCAAGCAAGATGTTACCTCCAGTGAAAACAGAGAGAGACTAACTCCTGTTTGCTGTGTTAAGAGGCTGGATGCCGCGCATTAAACTAGTCACTTTACCTTCAATTATGTTCAATAATTGTTAAAATGACCTAAAAAATTGAATATTAAACTTTTAAAATTATTGAATAGTATAAACTTCTTGATATTTACTAAAATAGTAAGGAATTTAAGCCCTAGAACCGATTAATGTATTGGCGGACTGATACTAAAGCTGGTTGCCCGGTCAGTGCAAGCGAAAACATGTTGAGGTCGGTTCGTAAGAACTTCGTTAACCGAATTTTTTTTCGTTAATAGAATTGAAGATCCTTATGGAAGGCAGTTCGTTAATCGAAATTACGTTAACCGAGGTGTTCGTTAAACGAGGGGTCACTGTACACAAAAAATATATAAGTGCAATATATTTTTTCCATAAAATGCATGTTATTGTGAGTGACGCCTCACTCACACCAGCTGTCCTGCGTGAGTCAAGCGCCCGGTAGCATCAGGTCTAAGTCATGTTCGTTATCACACGAGTGATACACCACGAAAAAACTTAGTTTTCAGAGCTTTTCAGCTTTTGTAATTCTGGATAAAGAATTGTCAACTTGTATAAGATTTGTTTATTTAATGCACAATATGCACTGAGTAAACAAACATTTTTTTTATCGAAGCGCTATATGCACTGGGATATGGAAAATCAAATTTATTTAGTTATTTTTAGGTGTCTGAGATCAACGGTTAATCGAGGTTTTACTGTATATATATAGATTTTTTTTTCACTGTATATAATGGACACTTATGCAGGGTTTACAATAAAAGAGAAAACTACATACAATTGTACAACTTTTCACCATATTTGATTACTATTGTGTTTTATGATGTGCAGAATAAAATAAGTTTATACTTTTCATTACTAGTTTTATTGTTAAATACATATTATTTATTATATAAAGAGGGGAGCATAAGACGGAATTTAAATTTCTCGGAAAATCATCCCAAAACTGGAATTTTCAGCGAAATGCTCCTGATTTTCTGGAATGATATTCTGAGGAGCACATTTTCTAGAAAATTCTGAGAAAATTTTCCTAGTACAGGAAAGCCTCCGATAACGACGAATCATATTTAAAACCCTGGTTAATTTAGGACCCAATTCAATTTATGCCGTTATTTTCTTCGTATTTATGACGAAAATAGAAACAAAATTATATATATATATATATATATATATATATATATATATATATATATATATATATATATATATATATATATATATATATATATATATATATATATATATATCAGCATATACCTAGATCATACCTACAGTGATTTATATATATATATATATATATATATATATATATATATATATATATATATATATATATATATATATATATATATATATATACTAAATTCGATATGTATTATACAAAAAAAGCCTTGCACACACAGGCTGGTGAGTGGTGACGCCACCATCACTAGTGTAAACAGTCGCAGTTTGGCGGACCTTTTGTTTTCACGCATCTGAACAGGAAAAAGAGAAAAACTTTAAAAGATTTTTTTGGCATTTTTGCGTCCCTATTCAACTTGAGAAAGTGCTGGTTCAAAAGCTAAAAGAAAGTGTACTGTACAGTATAAGCTTAGCTGAGAAACTAGATGGGGTAAGATGAAGAAGAGGGTGAAAGGTCTGGCTATTATGTGGAGCAAGTAATGAACATATTTTCTCAAGTGGATCCATTAACAGAACAAAGCATTAAAATTAACAGGGACAAAAAAAATGCAAATGACCTCTACATAAAAATTATAATGAGCAAAGAAAGCAGCTGTGCAAGGTTCTTTTGACAGCTTTATTATTCGAAGGCCTAAACCATCAAATTCAGCATCATAACCAGCATCAACAACAACTTCAGCTAGAGTTGAACCTGCAGCTTCAGCCCGAGTTGAACTTGATGACTTCGTCATCTGAGTAAAAACAAGTGCATCATTGGCATGAAATGCCGATGACTTTACCACCATTGCTGAGTAGAATTTTTGTTTTACATTCATAAGTATTATTTAAAATATATATGAACAGTAAATGAGTGTTGCTTTCATATTCCTATGTAGAGAAATGACGCTATGTTTCCTTGAGTGCTCACGTATACGTTGGAGTTCATAATCTGTCTTGCTTTATTTCTTTACCATTTGTGGTTAGCTACTTCTATTGTTCCAATTATTTACATTAAATAACACTACAGTGAGTTCTGCTATAACGCGTGTTTTGATAACGCGAATTTGCTCTAACGCGATTTATGAATTCGGAACAATATTTGTATAACGCGATCGCTTGTTTGCTATAACGCGATTTTTGCTTACTATTTCTCCAATTTTGTGGTATTAACTGTGAATATGGTAAAGAAGAATATCTCCAAAAAGCATTCTGATGATAGAATTCCCGGTGATTATCGTAAAAGAAAGGATATAACACTTGAAGAGAAGCTTGATGTTATCAACCTCAAAATCACCCTTCTCCCCCATCAAGTTACATTCATATTTTTTCAAGGTAAAGTGTTAAATTTACTGTATGATTTCGTTATTAGATATGAATGTAACATTTATTTAGACTGTGCTATCCTTTGTGTTAGGCTAACTACTAAATTTTTTCGATTTCGAGTAAACTGCACCTAACCCTATTTTCTCCATAAGCCCTGTTATTTCTATTACGCGATTTTCTATAACACGATATTTTACAAGAACACAATTATCGCGTTATAGCAGAACTACCTGTACTTAAAACATATATACTACTGTAGTAATTTGTACATTAGTTTTACTCCAGATATAGCCAGGGTTTTATTTTCATCAGTTTCTAATGTAGAACCATTGTCACGGTTGTAAACTAACGAAAACAATGCCATCTCGTCTCCTCTTGTGTTTTAATAATCTACGTAGTATTAATGAATTGTATTGTTCATTTTGCATATATAAAGATTAATCCCATCAAATACAAATTCAGTGATAAACAATAATAAATCTTGTACATATTCATAATAAGATAAATGACGCTATGTTTCCTTGAATGCGCACGTATACGTTGGCGTTCCCAATCTATCTCGCTTTTTTCTTTACCATTAGTGGTTAGCTACTTCTAATGTTCCATTTATTAACATTAAATAACATTAATTAAAACATGTATTAATTTTTTTACATTAATTTTACTATAGCTACAACCAGGGTCTTATTTTCTTCAGTTTCTTATGTAGAACCATCGTCCCGGGTGTAAACACTAATGAATATAGTTTGCATTTTCATTAATTTGATTGTTTTGGGAGAAAAGAGGGTAAAAGGCCACTCAAAAGATATGAGGTCAGATTTTGGAATGAATCTCATTATTATTGCTTTATTTTAATGGTAATTAATGATTCACCTTACACTGCAATATTGGAGGACACATTACTGTCGTTATTCGAGGCTTTACTGTACAGGGTACCAGGAAAATTCCGGGGATGGAGTTTTTCCAGGTTTGAGAGATGAAAATCGGGTGCATTTTCTGGATAATTCTGAAAAAAATTCGGGGATGGGGGATATTTTTCTGGGTTCGGGAGATGATAGTGCAATTTATGGAACTTTTGAGAATATTTTTCTGTTACCTGGAAAACTCCGTGGATGAGGGTTTTTCCGGCTTTGAGAGATGAAATAATGCATCATTTTGGAACTTCCGAGAACATTTTTCCGTTAACCAGAAAATTCCGGGGACGAGGGATTTTTTCGGCTTTGAGAGTCGGCTTGTTACCCGGAAATCTCTCATTCCCTGAAGTGCTCTGCACCAATTTTTCTGGCTAATGGAGATATAACTGTACTTGGTGCATTCCCTTAAATGAAAATGTGTGAAATATTGGCAAATATTGTACAGTATAGTCTCGATTTACATGGATTTGGATTACTCGTTCGGTTATTTACGCGGCACCTTGCCAGACCGACAATTTTTATTTACGCGGTTCATTCCATCATTTATGCGGGCAGGGTGTGCACAAGGTCGTCCAGTCAACAAAACATTACTGAGTTCTTCACCCGCCACCCACCACAGCCAGCCCAAGTCAGTGATAGTGAGGATATGGACTTTGAGGGGTTTGACAAAGAGGCCCTGCAAGCCTCTGTGGTGGATAGTGATACAGGTGAGGGCCAATAATCTGCCCTCTGCCTCAGAACCAACCGCAATCCCCATGTACCCAGCCGTCTCTTCTACTAAGTAAGTGTTAAAAAACCTAATATTATTGGTAGTTCTAAATATTAATTGTGTGTGCATACCATCATAAAATTAAGTTGTTATTTTTACTACAACATACGTAACGTATTGTGTCTGGGTGAAGTATAATTTGTGTATTTACTGATGATATTTGTTTTTAGCTCATAAAATTTATAGAAATTATCAGGCCAGAATATAATTTACATTGCTTAAATTCTTATAAGATAGTGATTAATTTGAATATAAACAAGCTAAAATTTGCATTAGACATACAAATTTTAGATCTAAATTAAGAATTTTATTAGAGAGCAAATATTTTATCTTTTGTGCAAAATATATGACGTTTATATTCAAATTATTCGCAGCCTTGCAAGGAATCCAGCAATGTCAATTATATTATCCTAAACATAGTCTGATGTATTATTTATTACTAAACCT